TATGCTATATTAGAGTACATGGACCCGTAGGGTTAGCTAGGATTTAGGGGCTGCAGGTTCATTTGGGGTTTTAGGGTTTTAGGGTTCCGGTTTCGGGTTTTGTGCTTAGGGTGTTAGGGTTTACCTAGATAGCCTGGTGCAGCTTTTTTAAAGGCGACAGGCCACTGTGACGATGAATAGCACCACCGCCTTTTAGCATATGTTTCATGTATTAAAGCTTCTTCAGAAAAAGGCCACGACCTTGAATCGATGGGATTGGGAAGCCCTGATTTCAACGAAAACCCGACGAAATTGTCCTTGGTTGATTGAGTCTTGGCAACAGTACATCAAAAGCGAGCTGAGCGATCGGAAAGTTATTTTTGCCATCACCACCGCAGAGCAAGGTTGAGCAAGTATCTCTGAACAGTCCGGTCGTGGACTGTGCGGATCGACACATTCCTGCTCTGGGCAGCTACCCGCCCTATGAAATCCTCATCTAATTGACACGAAAAGGATATGATGTTGAGGCTGTAGATGCGCCTCTCGGCACTCCGCCTGAGATAGTGAATCAGGTGGGCGAAAAGGTGGAACTTAGGCATGTACTTGAACCGCGGCTTGCCAGCACCTAGAGCTGAATGTGCAGCTGCATTGAATGCTCGCATGAATAGCAAGCCTTGCGAAGCCAATTCAGAAGCATCTGCAGGCGACACCCAGAGTGGAACAGCATAGACCTTTCTCATAAATATGTTGATAGCAACCAGGCCGCCATAGATGGCGGACAGCACACCTTCAATCGCTGAATCGCAGTCAGCCAAGAGCTGCTTGTATTTCACTTCCAAGTACTTTGCTATAATTGTAGTGTCATTTCCCTTGAACCACCGCCTCGATGGAAGGCTGTCAGCACTCTATCCGAAACCAAAAGGATTTAAAGTTTCAACACCCTAGCACAAAAGGAAGCAACCAAACCAAATTACCCGAACATAAAGACATAATGCAACACGGAGTCGCAACCGGAAAATCAGCCCCAGTGTCGAGGCCGAGCAAGTCTTTCGTCAGCCTCACCATGTTCAAGTAATGTCCTGTGGCCTTGCACCAGCTTTGAAGCTCTGCAAAGAAACAATCGAGACGTGCTGGAAATTGGCCAGAGCCCACAATCTCGTAATCAATCAATGTCACCTGAGCTATGTTTGGGCTTTGCGACAGTGCAGTGCTCAAAACAAGAAAAACAACTTATTCTGCGGCCGAACTACAATCGCCGATGCAACATAGTCTCCCACCACCCCTTTGTGTGCAGCATGGAACAAATCAATGCAATAGAAAGCAGCCGCATTACCCCGGTCATGTGGAAGCTTTGCCAGTGGGCTAGCTGTCGTCCAGGGCAGTGGGCTAGGAGCATGAAGCCATTTTGCATCAGTCTCGAACTCGTTCCAAGCAAATCCTTTTTGACCAGCACAGCATAAATGACAAATCCCTGGCGGATTGTCACTTGCCGGGGCATCTCTCAGATGGTGCCTGCTCAGGCGACCAGCCTTCGTCAGGGCTGGCCAATCGCCCTTGCAATTGATGACGACAATATAGATCTTCTTCAAGCCAGCAACACCATCGATGTGAATTCCATTCTTGTAGCAGTCATTAAGATCCTCTTGCCAGTGGTCCAGCAAAGCATACAGAATCTTTTTTTTCGTCGAATATGTCCGTGCCAATAACACAGAGTACAAGAATCTGGTACAGAATGTGCTGCCAAGCAAGTTGACACCCGAGGCGCCACTCTGTGTAGAGCCTTTGCCACAAACCGGTTGCACAGAAAGCACCATGATGCCTTTCTTTTTATGAGAAGTCCCCTCATCCAAATGGAGCATCATTGGTACACAAGCGTGTAGATGGGAAGCATGATCAGTAAATATATCATGCTTCGGGTGAAGTTTTCGATAGCGCTGCCAAAAGCTTCCTAGCTCAGTAGGACCATTCCCGACCAGGAGATGATCAATCTTCCCTTGGGTTGAACTGAGGGTCTCAATAAAAGATCGAAGGCGCAATGTAGGGTGAGCACCCTTCAAGCCAATCTCCTCGTAAGTTATTGGAACCGGGGCCTGCAGCTTGAAATTCAAGAACACATCCGGCAACCTGTTGTCATGGCCGGTCACATGAAGCCTGTTGAGCTCTTTGATAAACCCGAGCGATTGGATGGGTCCAGGCTCTTGCAACTCCTTGTACATAGCTGCTGCCATTTTGCAAGCATGCTTCTCGCTTACCTGCACTCAGACAAGTAGAGAGAATGTTATGAATACGTTTCAATACCGACAAAAATGAATAGGGAGACTGTACATTATGTATGTTCCAATACCGACAAAGAATGAAACGATTCTGCAGAGGATTGTTCAATGGACAAATTAAAGGATAACAAACAGTATGACCCGACATGAAGGCAAGGCACCCCAGAGGCGACACATTCGGCCACAGTTTTCGCAACGGGACCACATGGTTCCACTCGTCGTCGTTTCGGCGGGCCTGCGTGGCAATGCTTCTTGGTGACGACATAGGGTTTCGAATCACTCTGTTGGAGGCTTGTGTAAGCATCAGCAGCACACGGTGTCACATTTTGCTCGGTCGCTCCACACTTTCCCCTAGTTGCCATGACAACTTTAGGAACTGAAGAGGCCTGCCGACGAAGCATCCTGTTGCCCCACTATGTCTATCAGATATTGACTGCGACATGTAGAGTAGCTTCACCGGCTTGCCTGTGAAAAGTGAGAAACTCTCACGGACCCAAGGCTGGCTGGCCAGCTGTGCGCCCCACGAACTCCCAGAGGCGAGCTTTCACAGATTATAGTGCAGGTTTCTATTCGATTACAAGTAGAACTGCCCAATATAAGTAATAGAACCACACATCCACATCGCTCCACCCCGGGGTCAGTAGGCGACCCAACTGCGGTGTTCAAGGACTTTGAGGGGCATAATATGGATTTTGGAGGGCGTTCGGGCTGAAGGCAAGGGGAATTTAGTTTTGGGCACGGGCATCGTGGTTAGGCTTTAGGGTGGTCTTATAGTATTCCGGTTAGCAGATCGGCTTGTTATAGATAAAACAAGAAGTAAATCATTATACATTTTATAAGTATCAGGCTTTATAGGGTGTAAGCCTCAGGGTTCCCGGGTCTGATACAAAAGGGTCCTCCCGAAGCTTACGTAGCCTTGGACCGCTTGTTTTTTTTGGGCGCACCTTTGGCTTTTGCCTTGGCCTTAGCAGTAGCAGGCTTAGCCTCCGGAGCCTCGGCACCCACATCCTTCGATGAGGGCTTCTTGAGCAGGGTCCTGCCGAGAGGTGCACAACAATGACAACAACATCACTTTGAACATATCATCATCAGCATCACCATCACAAGCTCCAAGGGGAAGCAGCTCCAGAATCAGCGTCATCTTCAGCAACAGCATCGGCAGCAGCAGCAACAACAATAACAAAACAAGAATAACAACAAGCACCGTTATTTAAGAGTTTACAGGATATCCGAATTCCGGGAACCTGCCCGAAGCCACAAAAAAAAGTTTCAGGGTCTCAGGGTCTTAGGGTCTCGGGACTTACCTCGTATTGTTTCGGGATGCATAAATTTTCTCAGGTCTTTACGAGGTTTTGCTTCCTTTAAGGAGAGCAGTAGTAAATGTAGTAGTAGTAGTAGTAGTAGTAGTAGTAGTAGTAATAGTAGTAGTAGTAGTAGTAGTAGTAGTAGTAGTAGTAGTACTAGTAGCAGTAGTAGCAGGAGTAGTCGTAGCAGTAGCAGTAGTAGTAGTAGTAGTAGTAGTAGTAGTAGTAGTAGCAGGAGTAGTCGTAGCAGTAGCAGTAGTAGTAGTAGTAGTAGTAGTAGTAGTAGTAGTAGGCGTAGTGGCAGTAGTAGTAGTACTAGTAGAAGTAGTAGTAGTAGTAGTAGTAGTAGTAGTAGTATTCGCAGTGCAGCAGTACCAGTAGCAGTAGCAGCAGTAGCCATAGTAGTTTTAGAACAGAAGTAGAGGAGTATAGTAGTAGAAGCAGCAGCAGTCGCAGTAGTAAGCAGTTGTCGTCACCGTGGTAGTAGTAGTAGTAGTAGTAGTAGTAGCAGTAGTAGTAGTAGTAGTAGTAGTAGTAGTAGTACTGGTACCAGTAGTGGTCGACATAGAAGTGCTAGTAGTAGCAATAGGGATATAGTGTTGTTGGTAAATAGTAGGGCATAGCGCCGTAGTCGTACTTTTTCGGTTGTTTTGTTAAGATTGGTTCTATAGTCTTGTCCTACTTATGAATTCTCTACAGACCCGGAAACCTTTATTTAATTTCACTCTATAAGCCCTATTATAAGCCCTAAACCCTTAAAAACCCTACACCCTAACCCTTTGCTTCAGGCGGCCAGAGCTGGCTCCATCGCCGGAGACTTGCACTGCCATTGGTGCGGTTTTGGGGTTCAGGGTTCATAGGTATAGGGTTTAAGAAAAGGGATGGTTCGGGGGCATATACGATTTACAGGCTTTACACGGGAGCTGAAGAGGGCTCTAAGCTATAGTGTTGCCCAAGCGCACGACAAAGGAACTGTAGTCTGTAGTAATGACTGTCAACCAGACATAAGGATATACAGCCAGTCAAAATATTGTACCACTAGTGAAACATGCGGTTACATCGCTGCCTGTTCTACTGTCTTAAGACATGGTTGGAACCATGGGCATACGGTTTGGGCAATAGAGGAATCCTCTTCAGCTTGGTCTCTTCCATTGCGAATCTGGCACACCTTGGGGCATCCATTTGGGGATCATTGACATTGCAGCATTGGACCGACATTCGGACAATACGAGGGCTTGGCAGCTTCTCAGCTTCAACGACGATCTCGTGGAGCTTCGTCACCGACCTATAGAAGTGTAACCGCGGGGTTGTTTAGGAATGGAGCCTGACCTAGTTACGTGTTTTGGGAATTTGTACAAGTGGCTTCTGGCAGATGGATTTCTTGGAGCCAGCATAGGATGCTTTCATCTCAGCCAGCTCATCATGGTAGCCCGACAGCTTGGCCGCATAGCCATTGATCGTGTCCCTCGACCTCAAATGATGATCGAGATTATGATGGCTGTGCACTTTGGTGTAAATAGAATACCCCAAAAAATTAGACTATGAAGCCAAAATAGGAAACCTCATGAAGCACTGAAGGTATCCTTCTAGGTAAGTATAAACCCTTAAAGAATGCATCGCCCCTAGAATTAGATAAACCCTGAGGAAAAAACCCAAACCCTTCTAGGAACACCAGAGGAACAGAACCATGCATGATTCCGTGCAACCGAAAATCGATTTAGCCTTGTCCCCCGGAATCGCCTCTAGCTTCCCGGCACATGCCTCGATTTTGGTCTGGACTCGCAGGAGCTGCTGCATCAGCGTGCCGGCATTCTCGATCGCCTTGAAGGCCAGGGGCTATGGGTTCGAACTACCACAGATTCAGTGACGGGGGCCTCGGAACGGGCTTCTTCTTCCAGCGCTTCGCTCTTGTTGGGGGTTCCGGCCTTTGAGGATGGGGATGACACTCTGTGTTTCTTCTCCTTCCTGGCTTTCTTTGCCTTCCCCTGCTTTTTGTCCTTTTTTGTTTGCTTTTTCTTGCGGCTCCTGCCACTTCGCTTTCGCTTCTTCCCCTTTGTACTCGAGCCGCTAGAGCCTGAAGACCCCAAGCTGGCATCATCATTCTCATCATCATCATCATCACTGTCGTCATCGGCGTCACCCGGCGTGGCTTCGCCGTCGAGGTCCATGTCCCCGGAGATCTCCATCTCGCGTTTGTCATTCCACACCTCCATCTGGCTGATCTTATAGCTGCCTTTGGTTTCCTCCTCTACCCAGTATTCGACCTTGTCCTTTTCATACTTGTCACGCCTTGTCCGGGAGAATGGGTAGTTATACTTCTCAGAAAACACACAAGTGAAGCAGGCCTTGTGTGGGTCTTGATGCGCTTGGGGTTCATGCAATACTTCACAACCTTCTTGATCCTCTGCCTAAGTTGTGCACAACCCAAAAGAGACCCAAGGCCAGTGCGTCGTGGCCAAACTCAAATAGGAACCATCAAGGCCAACACGGAGAGAATTTCAACACCGAACGCATCTTCTCCTTCGTGTACCAACCACACACGATCGTCAGATCGTTCGACTTGCTCCGGCGAATCTGAATTTCCACCGTGCGCTTCCACACATCCTGTCGGATTACAAGCATTGTGTGGAGTCCATTGTAGCAAGCCGGGGAAACGGACCACCCTAGCTAAGAGCACCTATGCATGCAGTGTGTTATGTGTATAATTCACTGAGCAGTCCTTGTTCCCCTCACACTTCATCATGGTGCGGATAAGATCATTTTTGACATCACCGCCAGCATCCCATCTGGAGACAATCTCCGGAGTAGCCGAAACCGACCGTGACCGAGCCGTCGGCTTTACCATGCGACGGACCTTTGCCTCAGCTCGGCGCCAAGCTTTCGTGCAGTCCTGAAACCAGAAAGCAGGATCGAAACCCAACCGACCAACAACCCACAGCATCCTAGCATACCCTACATTAGAAATCCTTGCCGAAGGAGAGTACAAGGGAGACCACAAGAGAGAGAGAGAGAGAGAGNNTGTGTGTGTCTGTGTTCATAAGATTGATACAACTAATACGTCAACGACTATAGTCTATAGGCTTTCGCTGACACATATTATTCTACGTATTACTCTACGTCTGGGTCTGGCTTAAGAGTCTATATAAGTAAACAAGCAGATCAGGTCAGGTTAGAGTAAGCATTCTGATTCTTGGTTAGTTGTAGAGCCCTGTACTTCCCTAGGGCACCATGCAAGAAGCGACCCACCCCCGGGTTCCCTTGGCCCTTCACTCTCTCCTCTGTCTTGCTCTTTCTCTTTGTGCCTCTCTCTCTCTCTGTCCCTTTTTTTTTCTCTCTCTCTCTCTC